TAATACTTTAGAGACTTTAAAAAGGATTATATTTTGTCTGTGAAAACTGATATCCCATCCACCGTAAAGATGGAGCAATGCAATAAGCTGATGCACAGGCGCTAGATGGATCGTTGCATCACAAAGCCGTGAGGGATGGTGATGGCTCGGGAAGCATTTATCCAGCAGTGGATTGAACACAGCTGCTGAGGAAGTATCATTATTGGTGTCATACTATTCTTCACTTCGAGAATATGTATACCTCCTGGCAGTGGCACGAGGCATTAAGTTGTATCCTGTCACTCCCCGAGCATGCAATGTTTACATAAGCCTGCTTTGAGTATTTATTGTGTGTGCTTATGGCAGTGGCACACAATAGGTTAGTGTTGGGAGGACTAACATTGAGGCGGACATGCGCCTGTGATAAAACCCACCGCTTTTTGATAAATATTGGCGGTCTAAAAAATAGGATCATCTCAACAATAAAAAGTGCCACACCTCTCAGCCGCCTAAGCATCATGATTTATAAAGCGCAGTGCATGTAGAATTAAGTCGTATACTCTATGCGGGACATTGTATGGGATATGGGTAAAGCGTGCAACTTGCCATTGCAAGGATGGAAATGCAAATTCCAGTCAAGGGTGAACTCAGCGCTTTGTTCCTCCAGGGTAAACAAAATAGGGACCACTATATGGCAAGAGTAGTTGTCCCATGGGGTAGACTGAGTCCTGCTATAGCAATGTGGAGCTTCTCAGGGCTCCAGAGGTAACGAAAGTGACACTAATTTAGGCAGGAATACCCCTCTTTGATGTGAAAAAATTCTAAACGTAAGTACAACTATATTCTTAGCTCTTTCGGTAAAGTCACGTGACTTTACCGAAAGAGCTAAGAATATGAATTACTGCAGTCACGAAAGCTTTAAATCAAAATGTAAGTACAACTGTTTACCTATAACTGGGAATAATGAATGAAGAGAGATATATGGGAAAATGCAATCTTTGTCACAAGGCAATTTTAAAATAAAACTACTACAGTACTATATTGCATATATAAAAGCACACACTTTACAGATACAAAACTATAATGACGTTTCTGTGGTAAGTGTGCCAGTCAGCGTGCGGGAACTAAATTATGAACGATACATTTTGTGCCACGATGATAGATGAGCAAATAATTTAGTTATGGGCCTGAATTTCCTGTCTGTACGTAGCAAGCTTTTTTAAGGGTAGGATATTTTTTTTTACCACTGTTATTGTGTCATTATAAAACTTTACGCAAGGCTTACTGGAGGTATAAGCATTTCTCATTTGAATAAAACAAGTTAAGCCTTTGTACAGTACTCCATTGAGCAGAATAACGCGGTTATTAAAATAGGGAGTCACTTCTCCTAGTTCCCTTGCTGTGACTAAACGGCCAGTAGCTAGGTGTGGCTGCTGTGTTAGTGAATACAGCAGGAACTTAATACAGCAGCCCACCCACTGAGCTAAACCGCGTTTGGGGGTTTATATGACGCTTACATCTGCACTCCATCCACCCCCAGCAGCTACTTTAGCCCAAAAAAAGTGCCGCCATTCATCATCAATTGTGGCAGCAGTTATCTTGATGCAAAGAGAGACAGCACTTGCCACACTCATCCACCGAAAAACATCGAGAGAAATGCAGATGGGGAGTGTTTCACGGCAGCAGGAGGCGGAAATTTCGCTGACTCGCCACAACTGAATGCAATTTATTTTAAGTGACCTTACCATCATCCATCCATCTGAACGGCTGATGGGCTACAATGGAAACAAAGGCAAGGTTCTTTGCTGTTTGGGACTAACGATTATACTCATTGCAGCAAATGAGGAAGAGTGGCTAAGCAAGGATCTCATGTGTGCAAGCGAAATGCTAAACAGTGGTATTCTTGGGTCTTTCGGTAAAGTCACGTAGATAGGTTCAAGGAAAATAACATATCCACGTGACTTTACCGAAAAACCCAAGAATATGAATTCCTGCAGTCACGAAAGCTTTAAGTAAAGTGGGTGTGGGTATTGTGCAGCTAAATAAATAAATAACGGCTGCCCCTTTCGCTTTTCTCTAAATGCACATCTGATAGTCTCTGATTAATTCATGTTCTGTGGCTAAGTCGCCGATTAAGAAATCGGGTCACAAATTTACTGCCGGGCCCAGTTTGGTAAACTGGGTTAACTAAAAAGCGTATTGATTTAGCAATAGAAAAAAAAACTCTGGTTTGGTTATTTAAATTGAATGGAGTTACATGTTGCTGCGTGCTGTGTGTGTGGAAGGTCTAAAAAGGAACAGTGGATTTATTTGAACCCTATTGCTCTTTGCCTGGAGTACAACACTGTGCCCCTTGTTCAAATGTGTCTTTTGCTCGTAAATGTAGAGTGTGACACTTCTTGTTTCGTACGGCTGCTGATGTAGATGCAGAGTAACGACTACAATGTCACATTCAGGTGGTCAAGCCCAGATAACCGCGTCAGGAGCAGCAGAGTGGATCGCTGTAATGTCTCTTTCGTATTTGTGGATCGGGGGCATTGCATTATATGTTGTATGGTCCGTTCTGGATGACCACAGTCGCACACTGGAGAATTTTTAATATTCATAAGTGTAACACTTATGAATACGTAATGGTCTCATCGATGAAACCAATATGTTTTTTAAGGTTATACTAGTTGCTCGTTCTCCATCATAACATATAACATGTTGGTACAATCGATGTGTTCGTAAACCTCGGAAAACATTGCCACAAGCATTTTTAATAATGTACGTGAATATGGAACCCTACATTACAACTCTTGGCATAGTTTAATCAGCACGCCAACAACATCCTCAATGCTATTTAGAGCAATGTGGGATCTTAACAGCAACAATCAGCTCCACCGACTTGACTTCCTCTCCCCCAAAAGGTAGCTGTTGAGAGTATAGATGATTACTTTAAGATTAAACACATTTGTTTACATATTGTTGACTTTGTTTCACCATATTCTTACGGAAGAGCTGCCATGTTGATTCCTGTAATCATTTTACGGTGCACAATTTTTTGTTTGTATTCAACACAAATACACATGCACAGAATGCATTAGGGCAAGACAAAGCTGGAAAACTCTGCAGCCAAGCTGCAAGACGAATTGACCTACGCTCGGTGGTGTACAGTACATGCAATACCCACCCATTCACATCTCACGGTACAAATTGGCAATGTTGAGAAATATCTGACCAAATAAATAACTTCAGTGAAAAAATTACGACAGTATTTAAATACTGTACTATACGTAACCTAATAACCAAATCACCCAAAATGTGCCTGAGATCGTCATATATCGGAAGTTAAGCAGGTCTGAGCCTGGTAATGTGCTTAGATCGGTGGCCATAATGCACAACTGGTGTTTCAAACTGTGGGTTATATAATGGGCAGCAGGGGGCAGTGTAAAAAAATAAATCCAGTATTGGACTGTACTTCTATACTGCCGCCCCTTCCCCATGGGTCAAGGAGTGTTCTCGTTAAATGTCCAAATGCTCATGAGGAGGAGGTCACGTAATTTTATCCGCATCAGTGTCCGTAATATAACGGGAATTCGTTCCGCAATGCAGATCGTCACGGATAATTGGGGCCGTCCATAAATGACATCAGGCGATTTTGGCCGATTTTTGACCCCCCTCCCCCCCTCGTCACACGGCGTCACAAAAAGTCAGACCCCCCTCAAATATGACATCACAAAGCTCTGCCCACCCCCCCCCCCCCCCCAAAACCATATTTCCATTTTGAAAATAAAACATGCGTCAAATCACTTTAAACTATTGTAATTATAGTGCGTATTTAATGTGGCGCTGCACTCTGTTGTAGGAGAAAACTCGTATTAAAAAGGAGGTGCTGGAAAGCTGAAATTTAGCATAAAATTCACTTTCAAATATTCAACGTCTAGCTAAAACTGCATATGCTCAGAATATTATATTGAAATTCTCTTATAATTATAAAATATTAAAAGTAATTAGAACTATATAAAAAAAATACTTGAAACGTTGTAGTAGAACGAAGCAAAATGGAGAGTACAATCATAACAATCACATTCATTCCACAGAATGAAAAGCCCTGGTAGAATCATTAAAATAAAAATGTTTAATAATAATAAAAAAATACAAAATGTATGCTTCTCCATTCTCCCATGAAGAAGCAAAATGCTCCTTCATGGAATAAATCAAAGGTGACCTCAGTAAATTTAAATAATCAAATAGTTAATAATGAAAATTAATCAAAATTAGTGTTGTTATAAGAATTCTATTTAATTAAGTAGAACGTGTTGTTCACATTAATTAAAAGTTGCGCATTTTGATGTGACGTCACATTTCGCAACCTTCCCCTCCCCCCCTCGTCATACATCGTCACAAATGTCTGACCCCCTCCCCTCCCTAGGTGCATGACGTCATTTATGGACAATTCCTTAGGAAGAATAGAGGTACAAATGATAGGCATTTTCACGGACCCTTTAGGTGCTGTAGATAATAGCAGTTGGGGATGGTAACAGGGCCACAGGATAAGAGTTCTCCTGTAATCTTAAATGCACATCTGTACATCAAAACCATCCCATTAAGATGATGTTAATGTCTTAGGTGAAACTGTAGTGGTCCGATGGCAATTTCTTCACGGACATTTTGATTTGGCTATTGTGCTAAATATACAAAACAGATTTTCTTTAAAATAGGCATAGCTATACATTATGTAGATTTTGGCATTACAAAGCTACTGTGTTTGAAAAAAGCCAAGAATAAAATTGAAACTCTTGGCCTACACGGACTAAATTACTCGCCATCAATCTACCGAACACTCAATTATTATTTTCAGATAGTTCCCGTGGAGTCAGCACCTTTTTTTAGTCAAGCATTTTTACCCACCACGTGACGGACTGCCGACGTCTATATATAAATGGCTGATCCGGGCAACGATAGGTATTGTGGATACACGCATGCATGTTTGTCGACAGTGCGGAGGGGAGCTGGGGGGGGGTTGACGCAACACTCACCCCACACATTACGCGGGAGGGAAGCACGACAGTGGCGCTGCCTCGGGGCGAGGCGCTGGACGCCCCCGCTTCCCCCGCTGCTGTGTCCGTGTCGGTGTCCGTCTTCATGTCCATCCCCGAGTCCAGCTCATCGGCAGTGCCACCTGAGAATTTACGGTCACCCCCCCCCCCCCCTCATTTTTGTAAGACATCCCACACACCAAAGCCAATCGTCGTGAATCGTGGCAAAAGGTGATTTGCTCGTTTGCTCGCTCACGCTGCTGCTGGCATGAAGGCCGCCGCTACAGCAAGATTTGAGAGCCCGTCTCGAGGGTGTTTTGGCTTAATACTTCCAAGCCATTGCAGACTTGAAATAATCGAATGATCTGCAATTGCTCGGTCATGCAATTGCTGGCGGAAGGCCCTCCACAAGAGGCCCTCCACTCTCGAGAGTGTCTGACCTGCTCTTCCACACTAGTCAGACATCTTGGAAAGAGGTGGGAGTACCCACGCTTTGCCCCCACCACAGGCAACCTGCCGGTCCACTTACCGTGGTGCGCCCATTTACACTGCTGGGTGGACAGAGGTGGGGGTTTTGTTTTGCCTGCCGCACCGGGAGATTGACCGGCGAGCAATGGATTGCAAGTTCAGTGTGCTAGGGGTTACACCATGGTAGCAGCATCCCCAATAATAATGATCAATTCTCAGTTTAGTGATGGGTGCTGGATTTGACAGGCTGATGCCAGTTTCTATCTTTGCGTAACTATAATAATAATCATGTTATGCATAACAGGAACAAACACGCAAAGTAAACAATCTAGGTTTTTGCTATCCTGCAATGTTATTTTCAAAACGATGCGTCATAGAACCTGCCCCATATCTTCATGTAATTCAGGTTGCTCCTGCAAAAGAAGCAATGTTTTATGTGTCTCCTGGATATCTGTTAAACTACTGTACATCTGTGAAACTACAATGAAAACAGCTTTTTAGGTCATCGGGTTCCTCCAGTATGAATAAAGATTCTGATTCTGTCTCAATGGGTGTATTTAATATGCTGGTTAAATGAAGGATGATGTATTATAATGCATTCTGCTCTGCAGTACAGCATTCTGGGTAATTAATTAAATAAATTGCCTTCTGCGCCGTATTATCATGTAGCCATACACGTTATTCTCCACTACACTGCATATTGAGTTTTGATACAATGAAGTTTGTTTTGTTTTCTAGGGCCCCTTTATTTAAAGGAAGTGCTCTCACTAATAACATTTGTTAAAATAGCATTAATTTGTTTAGCGAGGCTGACTTCTGTCAGTGACACTCAGATTTACCCAAATGCAGGAGAATCGGTTTAATGAGGGAGATTCCCCCATCAGTTTCCCTCCCGGTAACAAACATGTGTTTGGGAGCCAGTGCGTGAGGAATAATCCAAAAACCCAGTTGACATTAGACCCTGACTCTCAGTAGCGTTAAGCCCATTGGGTATAGTTCTCACGCAATGAAAATCGGTATGAAGATCTGGCAGTGCCAGTCCTGACGAGCTTTAGAATTAGGTAATATCATAACTTTGACCCGTGGGAGCTTAGAGTGCCCTAAAAAAATATATTTTAGACTTGAGCTGCCTACAAAAGCAGTCTGTTATCTGAACTGGGATCATCGGAGAAATCAGCAGTAGTTACGGCAAAATATCCATCATCATGAGATTAATGTGACTAATTCATGTAAGTGGAAGTGAGTTCCATGCAAAAGGAGTCCTCTTGATTTCCATTAAGACTGATAAATATTGTTATATATCTGTAAAGGTGTTTTAGTCATTTGAAACCAATATATTTTACACCACATTCACCACAATAAAGGTCATAAGTTGCGGTTGAGCTGAGGAGATAAAGGGGTCAGAGGTCGTTTTTTGGGACTTATTCACACTGTTTAATTATTTTACCAGGTAAGGCTCACTGAGCTATATATGCTTTTTCAGAAGCGACCTGATAGCTGAAAGAAGTGGCTTATCACGTGGAAATGCATAGCAGCCAAATACTCTAAACGCATGTTTATAAATGTGGAAGGAAAAACCGGAGGACCCAGAGAAAAATCCACACGACCACAGGGAGAACATGCAAACTCCAAATATATAGGTCTCAGGGTTGGGATTGAAGCCACGACCTCCTGCATACCAGGCGAGGGCGTTAACATCTAGTCATCTTTGGCTCTGTAACTGCCATGAGGAGACCATCGATGTAGAGACATTAAGGCTAATTCCATGAATGTGTTCATTAGAGTGGAAGGCGATGGTCGGTGGCTCGCCTTACATCACATCTGTTTAATGTCAGAGTTCTATGAAGGGTACATGTTTTTGATAATATTTCTGGAACTGAAGATTTATTTTTGGATGATTTCACAAATATTTGTCAAGTCTGGCCCCTCAAGAAGGTAATTTAGTCTACAATTTTGGATCCAACATGGAAGACCTCTGCCAGTCAGAGCGATTTTGTCGTCCTCTAGATCTACGAGTGGCCACCGAGGAGCCTTAAGTCAGCAATTGATCCAAACAAAGTTTCAATTTCCTGACCTCTCTTAGCATTCCTTCACCGGATGTGTCTTGCATTAATCATGTATCCCCTGGAGTCCAGTTGACATCGTGTCCATTGCCCAGTCTCTTTTTTTGACTGTACCCCAATTGATTTAAACCTCCCCCTCAGGGGGGGGGGGCTTGAGAGTATCCCAAACAATATTCTGTGGAACTGGGGAATTTGAAGTCCGGGAGATCTCACAAAAATGTTTTAGGTTTCTTCCATAATTAGATTAAGTACCTCTGGCTTCTTCGGTGAACAGCAATCCGATTGGCACAATTGAAGCGGGAGAAATTCCGCATTCGGGAAGAAATTGAATGCAATCTGTGCATGATATTTGTATTATAATTGTAGATTATGAATTTTAGTTTGAATAGCATTCTCAATCAGATTTTAGGGGATCAGAAAATACCTATTCTGGAAACTGTTATGTGGGCTCTGGAGAAGTGTGTGTGAAATCCATACCCGTTGGGATAAAGTGTTCTCTAGGGATATGTAATTGAATTTGCCGGGGAATTGTGTTAATTGATCTCTGAGCAAACATTCCATTGGTATTTTTTGGCTTTGGATCATGATTAAAATAATGGGAAAATGGTCAAATTCCAGTCCCCTCCAATGATTAAGTTGTCTCGAGAGTGTTGATGGAGGAGGCGAGTGATTTATTTTAGAATGGCAATGCCAACAGGGGACGGGGCCGGGTTGCAAATATTTAGCAGAGAAAATTTGGAGCCATGCACGGGGCCTTCTATCAATACAAACCATCACTGACGATCTATGCATAAAGAGTCCATTTGAAATCAACTCGTCCATAGATGCGAGACTCCAAAATCACGTATAGCGAGAGACGGATATATGGGAGATAGGGAGAGGGACAATGATAAGGCACTGATCTGAATATGGAGGCAGGTCATCTATAATGATGTGGGATGAAGGTGATGATTAGTGAGCACTGGAGGGAATATTCGGCCTGGATTGAATGAAGCAGATGATCATTGTGGTAAGGGGATACAGTAACGACGGACGGATGGGAGAGTTTTGAGGATATAACTAAAATGTTCAAGTTGTTTGGAGGATGAAGATCACAAATGTATTTGTGGTGGCCATTGGAGCTAGTTTATGTTTTCATCAGGCATTCTGCAGTAATGTCGACTGTTTTAAAATTCTAAAATCTCAGCCACCGTGGAAATGGATCAGACTGATCATGGTTTACAAAACGATCAGCATAACCTTACATCATCTGCTTTCTTTAAATCTCTTAACTGCAGCTTTCATAAAATGTGTTTGCACAATTGAAAAAAATATATTATATATTGTACCCAATGAAGCTTTTGTGTACATTATTGATTTCATCTAAGTCCACCGTACGCAGTTCACCCCACCGTACTAGGCAATTGGAAAATGGCCCTGTTCATGACTGCCTGGTGTTTCAATAGGGCCAACACCATCTTCTAAAGTACACGCAAGGAAAATAGCAGACTGATAGTAGCATCTATCACTGGAAACAAAAACTTACTTTAGCTAAAATCCCACCCCCACCCACTGAAGTCACCCTAGAATACAAGAGGACATGCGGGAACATGTACAAACAATGCGCTCATGAAATACGTGCACACACTGATGCGAATGTGGCATATGTGCGCGCACACAAGACACCCACACAACGATTGCATACGACCCATTGTGGCTCGTTGTTTTTTTTATCAGACTCTCTCCCAGTTAAAATTCTGGCGGCTGGGCTAAAGACTCACAGGGTCATTACTCAACATCCTCCTCTACTCCCACACACAACCCCACACGCCAAAGTCAAATTACGTCAACAAATGGCATTAAAGTGTGCGCGTGTGCGTTCTTCGCGTCTTTGTTTTACAATAATGCAGCCTAATATCCACATAATGGGTGTAATTGGCCAAAAAACATTGCGATGCATGTCTTGGGTGTATTAATATATTCTAGAAATAAATAACACATTGGAAAACGGCACCTCAAAGTGTGTCATTGTGAATCTTATTTGTTTTGCTTTCCTGCAAAGTGCATTTCTCCACTGCATTGCAATGTTGCATAATAATGAAGTATAGAGGTGCAGGCCTGCAATTGCTTGCTCACACCACTGCGGACAGAGAGGTGTTCACGCAAGGGGGCTTGAGAGAACCCCTCTAGCAGGGATTTTAGCCCAGACGTTTTGGAAGAGGTAGAAGTACCCACGCTTCAACCCACCACACAAATATATAACATGGCATGTCAATTTATATTGCTAAGTGGACAGAGGTGGGAGGATTTTAGAAAAACAACTTTCACCATTGTTTCATCTGCAGTACTGAGAGATCAATCTGCGAACCTCGGGATTGTAAGTCCAGTCTGCTAATTATTACACCGCGGCAGCGTCCCTGAAATAAAATATGCAACAATAAGTCAAGCCTTGTTTGTAAAATATACCTACAAATATGCACATTCTATATTAATTTATAGAATCAGAAAATGAAATGTATGTAATGCGGTACCCATTGATCTGTGCTATTTGATGGTGTAAGTTATCCTAAACTGTTTAAAGGTGTGGTAAGTAAACTTAGACCTTCACCATGTAGGCTTTCGTGACCAATATC